TTTACACCATACATAAATGCATTTTTTTATAAGATTGTTTACTTTTTAAAATCTTTAAACAAAAAAAGGCTACAAATCCACATTAAATTAATTCTGCTACATGGCAACTACACGTGAATTGGTACGCTGCTACATGAATTCTACATGTGCGCCATCTATCGGAGTGGGATTTCCACATGAAACGTCGCAAGGTGTGTGACAAAGAAAAGGTAGGGAGTTGAATATCGTTAGTATCGATATTCAAGGATCGATAGTACGATAAATACAAATTGAAATGAACTCTAGCGCGTAATTTGAAATGTGAGTAGATGTTGCGCCCTTTGGCCATTACTTACGTGTATAAAATGATGCCTTAGGTCCCTCTGAAATAAACAATAACACCAATAATAATTATCAATAACAATTCATTTAATATTTAGCAACAATTTGTTCAACATTCGCTAACTATAAAATTGGTAAACTAACTAACTAGTACATACTAGAGTTCATACTATAAATGGTAAGTAAAGGGCCAATGCGGATGCCGGTAGGCCGGTGCACTTGCCCCGTTGACGAAGGTGTGCGACTAGCTTGTTTCCGGGTTAGCGGGGGCCGCCATGCAAAGCCCACCCGCTAATCCAGCGATAATATCGACTCGATGCTGTTACGATTACTGCGCGGCTGCAGTCGCGGTCCACCCAAGTAACTAATTGGATTCGCGAACTGGCGCTGCTGCAGCGACCCACCCACCAGATAGAGCAGCGGCAGCGTCGGGGCACCCAAAGCCGCCGCTTTGGAGCGATGGCGTGGCGGTGGGGCTGGAGCGAGTACTGGCGCTGTAGCTGGGGGCATTGTGGACCCTGTGGACTGTGTTGTCGCATTGGCATTTGCGGCGCCAACATCAAAGGGATGCCCTGTGTCATCGGGTGCTTTGTGGCGGGATTTGGCTCGTTGTGGCGGCTCCTGCTGCTGCTCCTCCTCTTCATGCTGATGCTCTTCTTGCGGGTCTTCATGCTGATAATGCTGCTGCTGCTGCTGCTGCTCCTCATGGTGCCCTTCTTGCTGCACCGCCTGCGTTGACTGCGAGAGATTGGGCATGAAAATGGTCACGGGGGGTGGGAGCAGGGCCGTGTGGGGACGGAAACAAATGCGGGTGGGTTGGTGGTTGTGATTGGTAGGGGGACGAAGGGAGAGGTTAGATTAAATATTTTTCAGGGTTTAATTCTATTTGGCTTTTTAGTCAAAGTGACGTAGAAATGGACATGGACATGGAAACGAAGGATATCGTAGATGTGATTGTGTGTGTGTGTGTGTGTTTGTGTGTCCAAAGAAGAGATAAAGTTTTATAATTATTCAAAGCTTTCCAAAAAAAAGGTGTGGGGTGGGGTGGGGTGCTCAAGCTGCTGTTGGTAGAAAATAGGGAAAATAGTTGGTGCTTCGGGATTTTGGCACCTGTCGTGATTTGGCACTTTATGTTGTTTAATATAAATGCCAAGGAAAATTGTGCATGTGTGTCTCTGTCTGTGTGTGTGTGTGTGTGTGTGTTGCAGTCTACAGCTGGTCCAGCATCCATTTGGTTGCACTCAAAACCTGCCTCAACAATGGCGCCACATCAGTCGCTGCTGCTGCTGGATGGTGTCTTGGTTACATGAAACCCGCCAGTCACTTTACAGCCCACTCAGCCCCCCACTGACACACCCACTCTAACACCCCCTTTGGAGCGCAAGACAGCTTTAGGATGGCAGGCTGGCAGGGCCCAAAATCCACTACAAGGAAAGCGGCTAACGCGTTTCAGTCAAGTGCAAATGTGTTGGCCAGGGCGACAGCCAACACATTTACATACCTCCCAGCCAAAGATGCCACAAAGTGGGTGGCAGCTACCGACTAAGCGTATACCCTAACATAGAGGAAAACACCCGGAGGAAGCAGCGGAGAGAGGAAGTGGAAAATATTTCAGTGGAAAATATTTCGATCTAAAACCAAATCTGCCTGAAAACCGCGTAACCCCTCTGCCATTTAGGGTATGAAGAACGCATTTAAAATGTTATTTTTTCCACGCTGGTGGCGCTGCCTTTGCCTTTCATAGTTTTCCATTTGCAAGAGAGACCCATTTCAGTTTCATTTCTGTGCAATTTTATTGTTCTTGGCTGAAGGTTACCAGAGGAGCAGCAGCAGCAGCAGCAGCCGCAGCACCCGAAGAGCGTTGCCAACAATAAGCAAAAACTTGCACTTTCATGCAGCACCAACAACGGCGGCAACAACACACACACTGACACACTTCTGTAATCCCCCCCTCTTGTGCTCCACCATGTCCTTTGGCAGCCATATTAACATTGTTGTTCTGACATTTTTCATTGCATACTGCGCGGGGCATACTGCATTTCAAATATTGTAATACTTTGGCCACGTCATCGTGCAGATCGCCGAGAGAGCGAGGGGAGAGCGGAGAGCCGAGGCATATTTCAATTTATTACCTGCCAGACAAACAAAACTTTCAGGCAAACGCAAACACACGCAAACCCCCCGAACTCCAATAATCCAACAAAAGGTATATTCAAGAGAAGGTAAGGTAATCGGAGTGTGTATGAGCTGCAGAGTAGTACCTACATATAACATATATATCCTTTCCCCCACACCGCCACACAGACAGGACACGCATTGTGGGCCAGTGCCCCGCAAGAGCAAGCGTCAGTGGAATATATTTATTACACATGTTGGACATCCCAAGCACACAAGTTCTGATGCTCATTTGGTCTCTCTCTCTCTCTCCGATGGTCAACAAGCAAAATGCCTTGTTAACCATTATGGGCCATGTTTTAATGTGGCAGCACACAAACGACAAACACAAACAACAGCCAAACAGCAACATCAACAGCAAAAACAACAATAACTTTTCGCATTAAATGAATGCCAAGTGGCATTGAGACAGAGAGAGATGGCAGTAGCTGGAGGGGACAAACAAAAGAAAGAAAAAACTTTGTTGTTCCTGGTGATGTTTTCTCTTTTCATTTTTTTTTCTCAACTTTTCAACGCGGAAATTAATAACAAATTGCTTTAAGCCACCATGACGATTACGCTCTCTGGCCTTCACTCTGCTCAATGGCCATGGCTACAGAATACACTCGGGGACACATGAAGAAGACATTAAGTTCGTATAAATGCTATTATTATTATGTGCATAGAAGCGGTGCCTCATAAAGAGATTTAATAGAGAGAGTCGCTGCCACCAAAGACTGCTATTATGTGGCTAGGATATAATGGATATAAAAGGTTGTCCACTGCCCCAGTGAGGTTCCCTTGTTGAGAACTTTTTCGATCTGCCCAGGAGTTTGTAGCTCGCTGCAGCAAGGCTTCCTATTTAATTAATCCAATAATTCACTCCAAAAATTGATTGCAAATCAAAATTCATTATTATATTTTTGATAATTCGAATATTGCATGCTAAAATAAAGCCTTCCGGTTGTTTCATGATAATTATGAATACAAAATTCGCACCACTTAAAATGATTTTTGTGAATTTTGCAAATGAAAATCTTAATTAAATAATATTATATATGCCTCATTAAAGTGTGGCATTATAAAGCAGCATTATGTCAGTGTATTAACTTTATATTTTACCACTAAATTGTTTAGTTGCTTAAATTTTAAATAAAATAAAAAATTGAACTTGAATAATAGAACCTAGAACCAGAACTATAAAGTGGCGCTAGTAATTTCTCGCCTATTGTAAGTCTACGAGTATACTTGTGCATGTGTCTGGTTGTATGTACGTACATATGTATGTATGTGTGTTGCCTGGCAACGCCTTGAGTGGAGAAGAGCGTGGAACAAACTTTTGCCAGGCACAATAAACACTTCATTGCGCTCTTGAGTTAATTTGTCAAGAAAGAACGAGCCAGCGAGCGAGCGAGCGAGCGCATACATGTTAAAAATTATTGAAAAAGTTTCAAGTGGCAAATGGCAACGAAAGATATTGTTTGGCCATGATGGTTTTTCATTAAGGGACCCATCCCCGCTCCCCACCACCACCCCAACCACAACGCTGCCAGCCTGCTGGACCATCGTAATTGCTGTATAGAGAAGAGAGCACATGAATAATGCATGCTTTGAAAGTTTTATGAAAATGCACGAAAAACCAGGAAACGCCACAGATTTGAACCCCACCCCACGACAGCCCAGACCACCCGCCCAGCCCTTCTGGGAAACAAACAAAACAAAATGGGAAAAGGAATTCGAAAAAAAAGTTAGGAAAAATAAGCAAAAAATAATAATTAGAGCAAGCTGCTAACCAACGGAAGGCCAATTGGCTTCGTGTTCGTCTCCAGCATTTTGTTTTTGGGTTTATTCATCGCTCTGCAGCAACGCTGATGTGATTTCCAAGTTGATATAGTATAGGAAGATAAAGAGAGAGTCTCTATACTCTATAAGGAAACAGCAGCGGCTGAGGCAGTGCCTTCCAGTTCTTGGGAGGTACAAGAACAGAGTGAAAGCTGCAGGAGAAACGCGAGAAACTGTGCATTCTATCTGTTGGATAGATGCTACTCAGAAATATTCCCAACAGCAGACTAGTGGAAACAGCAGCAGCAGCAGCAGTAGTAGTTTGGTTTTTGCCATCAAGAGTTCTCTTTACTTTCCACGATGCTCCGCTTTGTTTCTATGCTTCGCTTTAGATGCTCCACTTCGCTTTGCTTCCACTTCCCTCCCCACACTTCTCATCTTCTCTCCCCTGCTGTTCAATAAACTGTAATTCGTGCGCCACTTCTCCGTGCATTCATTTGCTCCGACACTCTCTCTAGCGCTCAAATGCACGCACACACACTCACTTACAGTCACGGGGACGACTACTCTACGTTACGTTACGTAACGTACATTGTGCTTGGCATACATGGCGTATGAGTGACATTTAATTAAAATTTATGTAGTCTAAAATGGCAAAAAATTTTCTACACCACAGCGAACGACGATGAAGCAGAAAGCAGACGCTGGAGCTGGAACTGAAGCTGCGGAGGTGGGGTGGGGAGGGGGGGGGGAAGCTGCCGCCCAATGCAGTGCCGCCTGTTCAAATTTATGCAACGCACCATTTTGTTTGAGTTGTATTAAATGTTGGCAGTGTTCTGTTCTCCATTCTGTTCTGTTCTGCAGCTTGGGCTGGTAATCATGTGTAAATTTGTTTTTACACCCATTACAAGTGCAGGACCTGGACCCCACCACGCCCCCAGAAACTACATTGTCAGTGCTGGTAAGGTTATCAAATATTTAAATGGAAAATTGTAGGATCAAAGCAGATAACGTTTGGAAAATGGTATTTTTCTCATGATTGAAGTTTAATTTACGCTTTTTGAAATATATCTACAATTGCTTGAAGCTTAAACATAAATTAGATTTTATGTAGGTAAAATGTACAATCTTAGGATAGGAATTATTGGGGTATCACTTGTGCTGTTCTATATATCAGACTTTTCCCACTCCATACAGCCCATCCTCCTCACTTGCTGTTCGTGCGTTTCAGTTGCCTTTTCAAACCCATTTCCATGCGTCTGTAGTGCAGGCGACGCTGCAGACTCTTCCGGAAGATCGTCTCTCTGGCCAGGATGGCCAGATCCTCGTAGCTGCACTGTCGAATGTTCTGCTTGGTGCGGGCTATCAGTTCGCTGGTCAAGTGAATTTTGGTTATGGATGCGCGGGCCGTCTGCCCATTGCGGCGGCGCAGCTCCTCGCGGTGCTTGAACATCACATAGGCGGCGGTGGGGGAGGATGGAGGCTGCGTCACTGTTGCCTCCGGCTTCTGTGGCAGCTGCGATGCCGCCGGCTGTGCGCTGTTTTTCTGCTGTACGAGACACATCTTGGTTGCTGGAATGCTTGAGTGCGTTTGCTGGTTACGTCAGTGCTGGCTCCTGAATTTATACACATTTTGGTGGCACCTTTTCTGACCTGCCGTCCATTCATGAGAGGTGCGGGCGCAGGTCAATCAATCGCCGGATGACCTGAGGTGCACTTTTTACGAGTCATTAGATTTTTTACAGCTGGACCGGGCACAGGGTGAGTGGATTAAAAAAAACTGTAATCCCATTCATTACCTAAAAAGTGTCGTAAAGTCCCGAGCAGCAGCCAAACGGAGCGCAAAAAATTATCTCCGTCTCTCTACCTTGTCGCGCACCGCTAATCCGGATACATAACCGGATTAAGTCAAACTAAACTGTTTATGGGTCATGTGACCGTCGTCGGTGGCCCTTGTGCCGGCTCTCCTGTTTGTTCTTGTCCACGTTCCATGGTCTTTTCGATGCGCGGCTGCCTCTCCATGATGTTAATCCTTTGGCCGTGGCCGTGGCTCGCTGGCCTCACAATTAGCATCATTATGACGGGACAGCTGATGGCATTCCTTCCATATTTTGGGTATTTCACATGAAATTTTCGCTTGGGCTGGATAAATGACCAGCTGACCCAAATTTGTAAACATTCAAGCCAAATATTTGACTTTGATCGCCGGCCACAACCGCAACTTCTTTATTATTCCACAGAGGGGCACAGTGGTGCTTGATTCGTTGTGAAGCGATTCTATTTGACATCATCCAATTGTAATTGTGTCCCCAGCATTGCCTTCTGTGCTAGGGAAAGTCTTCGTGATTCGCTGTGATCCATTGTGATCTTCTGATCGCTTTCATTCTCCGTCTGCTGTGCTACTTATCCGCTGTTTTATTGCAGCTTCTCTTTGCCAGTCTCCTTGTTAAAGGGTGCTAAAGAAAGAACTCACAGTGCTGCTATGAACACAGCTCTTCTTTGTTTATCTGCTTCTCAGCCACTTTCTTAGTTTACCGAAGAAGAGCTTTTCAGAGAGCGAGAGCTCCTTTATCTGCTCTCTGCTTTCAACAATCTATCAACAACTTATCATATTCATGCCACTGTGCCACGACTATGTTTGTTGTTTTTTCATAAAATTTCGCCTAAGGGCAAAAAGGGCGCTGTAAACTCATTAAATTGGCTTGACTGCTGCTATCCGTTGGCTCTGGCTATTGCTTATTCCATCGCATTTTTCAATAAGCTTCAATGTGTGTGTGTTCGTGCGTGTGTGGGTAGGGATACCCGGACCCTTCTACCAGTCTGGATTTCATTATGAAAAGGGTTTTTCGCCCTTCGCCCGCCGCTCCAATGTGCGAAAATCACAACATTTTAATCTCATAATCTGAATTTATGTGCAGACTCAATTTCGTTATACTTAACGACATTTTATGCGGTTATTTTATGCAGGCAACAGCATAACGGGGGAAAGCTGAAGGAGCTGCTGCCCTTTTTTTCTCTCTCTTTTTTCCCCTCACATATGCACACAACACACTTTGCGGTCTGGCTGGCACCCTAAAAATTGAGAGCAGCAGAACAGCGAATGTCAAGAGAGCCCCAGTGTCCATGTGGGTGTGTGTGTGTGTGTGTGTGTCTGTCTGAGTACTTGAGATTTTCTATGGTCGCACAAAACACATTAGTTAAAAGTACTGACCAGCAAAGCCACTAACAAGCTGTTGGTCGCCTCTACCGCCCAGTCCCTGTCCCCGCAACACACCGTATATGGTAGTAGCCCCTTCAATGTGTTCATGCTGCTCTGCCCCCCATATGCCATAACCTGCTCTACCCCACACTCGGTTTGTCCTGCGCTGCCCCCACACACTCACATATTGAAGTGCCATTATGTGTGCTTTACTTTTCCCATATTCTCCTACCCCTCCTGCTGCTGCTGCTTCACCCTCTTCGCTTTCATCTTCTTGCTGTTGTCAATCTGGCTGATGGGCTGAGCTGTGCTATACCCTTCCCTGGGATATTATTATATTCCACAGAGATTTGCAGCGCTAAGGAGAAGGTTTATTAATCCTTGCAAATAGACAAGTCTTTATAGGAAACTCTTGACATTACTATATCATATAGAGAACATAACAAACGATCGATCAAGCAAGAGTATCTAATTTGTCATTCACCCAGAGAAGCTATATTTTTCGTTTTGATTCATCTTGTTGTCAGCATTTTTTTGATATTTGAAACTTTTTTAATAAACGCATTTAAATAAATTGATGTGTGCATGCAAGAGTTGTGTTGCGTAATTTCTCATCATTTAATATGAAACAAGTTAAGGCTGCATACCCTACCCCACCCCCCATTTCACCGTCAGTTTCTTCCTTGCCAAAGAACTTTTACTTTTATTACCTTCGTATATCACACAGCGAGAAAAATTACAAGCGAAAAAAACAAGAGAAAATAAAGGAAAGGAAAGGTGGGAAAAGTTGTGCAATTCTTAAAACTTAATAGATGCAACTTTGCTTTCACTCTGATTTCAGTTTCTCACAATACAAATTATGCAGAAAGCAATTTCGGAACTTAACTCTTAAGTTATCAGATACATATACATACATATAGACCTTAATTACAGTTTATAAGTTTCGAGTACAACGAGGGTTAATTAATAGTTCCATAATTATTATTGGCTACAACTTTTGGTAGCTATAAAATCATAAATTTTATATAGTTTCATGGATTTATATTATTTTTAACCCTTTAATTAATTTCGCACTTCGTTTCAGTTTCAACCTTAACGTTTTTCACGTTTCCTTCTTTTTTAAACATGAAACCAGCTTAAGTGCCAATGAAACCTTGAATAATTTATTTAAAATTTTATTCTTTAGTTTAAATTTCCCCCTTTTATGCTTTAGTTCTATCAAATTGAATTCCTAAGATTTATATGTTCTTTAAACTTTATACAAAATCTTAAATTCGTTTCGTCTATCTATCACTTATTCGTAGTTAGGAATCGTTTCGTTTTTAATCCCATTCGACTGAATTCCTTTCTTAGCATCCTGTTCCAAGTCTTTAATTACTTTTCTAAATTAAATTTTTAGCCACAGACCACATTTATTGACTTTAAAGTTTCGTTTGTTTGGCAAAGTTTTTGGCAATATTGAAGAAATAGTCATGTCAATTGCCAGACAGTTTTCTTTATACATGAAAATTCAAGGACTTCTTTCGCTTGCAATTTGTATTATTTGTTTTGCCTTTGTCGCTTCTTCTGTCTCTGTCTCTGTCTCTTTGTCTGTGTCTGTTTTTATTTATACAAATTGCTTTTCTTTTTTTGGTTCATCCTCCTTCTCCTCTGGCTCTCTCCGTGCTTTATTTATTCTGCCTTGTTGTCTTGCCATCCATTCGCCTAAATATTTATTCTTTTCTACATCCTTTCTGGCATGTTTTTTTGCATTCGCTGTATGTCTCTGCTCTTCGGTTCGTCAGTTCCTGGTGGTTGTCGCGCGTCTATTGACGCCATGGTATCCATTCTGCTTGCCCCCCGTTTTGCGACCTCCATTGCTGCTGGTGCTGCTGCTGATGTTGTTGCCTGTTCCACTCGCTGTGGCAGCGGCCAAATCTACATCCGTTTCGGCAACGATTGGCGGACCCCAAGACACTTGTCGCCGCACAGTTGGTGGGCCTGATCCAGTGCCCACTCGCTCCGCGAGTCCTGCTGCACCTCCTCCTGTTCCGCTTCCGGCTCCTCCGCCATGCTTGCGTCGTTTGCTACTCTGCTGCTGAAGTGTTGCCGCTCTTTGTGGCAGTTGTCGTTGCTGCTGCTGGTGCTGGTGCTGCTGCTGCGGTGGTGGCAGCGGCTGCTGCTTTTGACTTTCATGTTGCTGCTGCTGCAGAAATGTTTCGTATTGCTTTTTATTAAAAACTTTTTCGTTTCATATTCTTTGTTTTAAAACATTTGCCACTCTTCACATTCTCTTTTTTGACGACGACATTCTCTTTTCAAAGATATTCCTCCTTTGTATGTTTTTTTCTTTTTTTTTTTCGGTATATTCTTTAATTAGTTTGACTTCATTCCTACATGTGCTGCGTGCTGTTGTTGCATGTAATGTTGTTGCTGTTGCATGCATATTAGTCGAGTTTCATGCAGAGGAACATTTAATTAACGTGCACGGAACGAAAATGTCACTTGTTAGTGTTTAAAGTACGCGATATCTCCAGTTGTTAATACTACTTTCAATTAAATTAAAGCAAGTCAAGGTTAAGCCCTCGCTGTGCACGCCTTGAATTTTCCCAGAATTGAGTGAGCAGAGCCCATTGATGTGCAGACCAGAGCCCAACCCAAGCTCCCATTGTGTCCTGTGCACATTGTTCTCCCTACAGGTGATTGTTCTCCTGCTCACTTTCTTTGTTGTGCCACAGTCTTCTTTTGTGCCGTGTGCCTTGCCAAAGGCTGGGCTGCTCCAAAGGCAGCACAAATCAGGCAAGAATAATCAGTTTGAGCCATGTAACCGAGAGAGAGAGCATTAGCATGGGACAGTACTTCAATTAGGGATTTTAATAGCACCAAAGAGAGAACATTTCCCCCACAAGCACATATTTGTGTACATATGTATGTTCTAAGCTCACAGAAAGTGTAGCAAAGAGCGTCTTTGGATCGGTTATGGGATTTTCTCTTGCAATTCTAATTAAAGACGAAAGAGTACAGAGAATTATTGATCCATTAAAAGAACGTCTCTCACTCTCTCCCTCTCTCTCACTATTTGCATTTCAAATCGAATCGAAATAGTTTTTGCTCATAGACAAACAAAATTGAAATTGATTTGCTTCTTTGAGACAAATTAAAATTGTTTGCTTACCCCATCACCCCACCACACACCGATAGTCCCCAGATTCCATTTCTGTTTATTAAATTGTGGCTTGCGTTTTAATTTACACATCATTAGCTCAAGTCGACTCGACTTCTTTGCCTTCATTAAGATTTATAGAAAACTTGGGCAAACAGCAGAACACCCACAAACACACACAGATAGAGAGTAAGTTAGAGAGGGAGAGAACAGCTCCCTCTGTGTGCTTTTAGGAGGAAGGAAGGTCGAGGAAGACGACAAGGCAAGGCAAGGCAAGGGCAACGTCAGCGCCAGCGTCAGAGTTTGTTGTTGCTTGGGGTCTCGTTTTTGCATTCTAAGCTCGTAATGAGTTTCACCGCAGCATTGTGGCGGCTGGAAAAGTTAAGTGCGTGCTGCGTTTGCGGCGAGGCCCAAATGAACAGCAACAAAGGGTGGGAGGGAGGCTGAGCAGCGGGCATAGTGCACTGCATCAGTGGCAGTGGGTGGCTGGGCGGCTGGGTGTTTGTGTGCTGCAGCGAAAGATGAAAGAAAAAGCGGTAAGACGCCCACAAACATTTCGGAATAAAAAGAAAACTTGGCATGCATGACAGCAGTAACCTCAACCAGTGGGAGGCTGCAAAGCAGCAGCTGGGGCACTTGCACTTTTTGCTGCTCCTTAAACAAAAGCCTCAGCCTCAGCCTTCATACCTTGCCTGCACCAACCCCCCGCCACCCCTTTTGTAAGCGAAACTTTTTGATTTTGAGGCAGGAAAAAAGTTTTTGAGTGCGCTTCAATTTCGGTTGCTTTGCAATCAGGCTCAAGGGAGTCGGGTTGGGTGGGCTAGAGCGCCGCCAGTCAAGTGGAAACGTGAAACGTGAAGAGGACTGGGCTAGGAGGCGGAGAGCTGGCCTAGACAATGCCGCACGCACTTTGCACAGCGTAACTTTTGCCATTTTTCGGGTGTCGCCTGTTCGCAAAAACTAAGAAAATTCGTTGCAAGATTTGAATGTGCATCAGTGTGGCAGGCAGCAGCGACATCGGGAAAGATTTCCCAAGATTGGCCTGAAGGAGATCCCAGGAAATTCAATTTGGTTGCAGCTTAAGCCCCTGACAAAGTACATGCTAAGTAAGCTCAAAAGTAACATGCGCCCCAAGACCCAACCCAGTCAGATTTCCCAGTTCGTGCTGGCGCCTCGATAGACACTTTTCCCCAGCTAAAACTACATAAAAGCCAATAAGTTCAATATTTTGCTTTTCTCCAAAATGTTCAGGGCGCTACGTTCGGGGGTTTGGTGCGTCTTCGTCTTCAGTCGAAAGTTTGTTTTGGGCGTGCCGAAAAGTCGATGCAAAAGTTGAAAGTTCTTGCTGCGTTTGTTGCTTAGTTGGAGGTTTTGTCTTAAGTTTGTTGCCCAAAAAGAGTCACTCCATACCCATACGAATACTATGTATATTCATATATAAATCATGGACAGCACTTGATAAGCAAAAAGCAGACTGAAGCAGCCCATTGTCCCATAAATTGTGGGCCTGCAACAATTGTTATTCTATTCTTGGACTCCAAAGTTCATCTCGTGAAAGGAGTTGCCTTGGCAGGGGAGCTCGACAGTGGGAACCTGATTTCCATGACTTTTAATACTCTCATGGCGTGTGGCCATGTTAGCTGTTGTTTCTATTTGTTTACTAGAAAAAAATGCAGAAGGAAGCTAGGTAGATGGACACGTTATTAATATCAGCCTTATATATATCAGCTATTTGCTACAGAAACTATACACCTTCGAAGGTATCCACAACGTCGGTTTCCCAGCCTAAACTTTCTTTCTTTTTTTCCGCCGTTTGGTCCCCCAACGCATATTCATTTGGCAAATGTCTTTGGGCACTAACAAAGGGAAGAGAGAGAGAGAGAGAGAGAGCCCATTGCAATAAGCCACCCAGAATGCAGTTCAATTTATTTGTGAGGTATTTTAACTTTTGTGCTGCACTGAGCACTTTTTCTATTAAATAACATTTTAGACAATTGGCTTGCTGGGCTGCAAAAAAAAAGAGAGAATGCTGCTGGCCAGAAGAAATTGCTTAAGAAATTGTTCTGGCCACAACAGCAAAGCCAAGCCAAATGTTCCAGTTTGAATGTTTTTTTAACAAAGGGAAATGAATTGGCCAATATACAAAATAAATAGGAAAACGGAGCGTAGGACCCAAAGAAGCCACACACACAAAAGTCGTTTGGAAAGTTTCGAAAGGATACTGAGGGAAAAAACTATCAGGCAATATACTTTCAAGGAGAACTGTAACCAAAGGAAAACAACCGTAAGCAGCTTACTTTAAGCAAGGGCTGTTGGTGTGGATCATACTATAGTAATTCAATTGTTGTTCAGCCCCGGAGAGGTCTGAAGAGATGCATAGATTGTATTATGGAATTGTCCGATGGCAGCTTTATGATTTTAGCTTTTTTTTATAGATGTTTATTTTAATAGAATTTATTTAAGAACTCAAAAATAATTTATTCTTACAAAGACTGGTTTTCTGGTTTTTATTTAAATATAATAAAGTTTTGTGACCCTGGCAGCTTCTACTCCTATTGGAATTGGAATAAATTCCAGCTTCAAAGATTTGCAAAGTTTGAGGACTTGTGGCACTGGTATTGGTAGCATAGAAAGCTTTTAAGCTTAGGACTTGAATAAACAAGATATCCCAGCTATGCACCAGATATTCCACAAATCAAAAGAGACCCGTTGGAAAATATATCTGCTTTGTTTCCGCTCATTCGATCCGTCTGGCTCTCTCTCCCTTTTTCTCTCTTTCTCATTTCTAGATCCAACAATATAATCAACAAATCTATGGCCTACTATTGGGGGATCTCGCATTCAACCATTCATACACCTTGTGGTGGAATTAATGCACTCGACTTGATAGTGCCGTGTGCCAAGTTAATCGGCTTATACAATGATTGAATCGGCTTGTTTGGGAAAAAGCATTGTTCTGCCACACACATACACACAGGCAACCAGGCAGAGTCTATTGGCCAGGCCAATTGCATCTGGCAATGAATTAAGGCAATTGTCAATAGTTTTCGTCTTTTGTTTCGTTATTATTTGTATTTGTATTTGAAATTTTTGTGTGCAGGTTTCGGGTTTGTGTTAAATTTAATTAAACAGTCACACCATAAACGTATTCAATATCAACAATTAAAACAGCACACGCACACTGGTAATTTTTTAAATGTGCGTATGTATTACCATTAAATTACGATTATATTTTTTATATAATAAAACAAAAATTGTGTTTGTTTGCTGCATATTCAAATATGCAAAAACCGTAGAACCAAAGAAAATTCATATTTTCCCTCATATATTTTGTTTATTCAGTTAAATTCAATTAAATGCAATTTAATTAAACGGAACAGTTCTCGCAAGTTGATGATGGCCACAGGGCAGAAAAGAGAGAGAGAGAGAGATAGTTAAAGTGAAAGAGAGGATGCATACACACACGCACATCTCATGGTCTTGCCATGCCTCACATGGAAAATAAACAAATTTAAATGTTTCACTAAAGAGGAAACATTTCAAACATCAGGGGCATGCAAGAGCAAACATCACAACGAAATAAAGGAGGGGTATAAAATCATCTTTGCAGATATTAAATCTAAT